TTGCAAAACTCTTTGCATAGTGCAATGCCAGCAGAATTCCGCTCATTATCGCTCTCTTCATACGACACAACCGACTTCAACTCCCTGAGCCCACGGCAAATACTGCAGATTCTGCAGGCGTACGCAACAGCGAGTCGGACGGTCTTCATCGTGAATGTACCATTCATGGGATTATGTTTACTTGGGTGCTTCTTCATTGAAGATAGAGGTCTGCAGAGGCCAGATGAAGTTGGAGAAGATGTGCAATTAAAAGAGAGACATGATGGTGGAGGTGGAGAGGTTGAAGTGAGCGGCGACGGAAGAGACCATGGGAACAGGATCAAAGAAGACGTTGTTGTGTTGTCACGGTGACAAATCACCTTGAACACCTTTCAGCGTTAAATTCGAGCGCGAGCGACGTTATGGTCTTACATAAAACTTCGTTCGTCACATACCCCTCCAGCTACTTGCTCTCTCCCACGCGAACGCCGCTTCATAAACACCCACTTCATCCCACCATTTTCCAATGACCTGCATGCTAACCGGTAAAACGACTCCCTTTTCCACTCCAGGGCCTTCCGTGACTGGCAACATACCAATCGGCATCGCCAACACTGGATGCCCACTCTGATTGAACGGCGCCGTGTTGGAAGTCAAGCCGATCTGCTTTCCAATCTGTTCGAGTGGTGTTGCATCAAAGCTCGCATGACTCGTTGCTACATACGGTAGTGTAGGTGTCAACAATATATCGTACTGTGCCAGAGCCGCGTCGTAAGCATCACGAAGCTGTCTTGATAGATTCGTCGCTTTCGCGAGGAGGTTGGGAAATTTTTGTGTAGCGTACAGACCGTTGAGGTAGATGTTCTTCGTAGATGCATATGCTTCGTTCCAGTTGTCCTGGCCCATGGGATGCAGCAATGAGTTCAGCTCGAGCATCTGGTGTCCGCGACGCCCGAACGAGCCTGTGGTTTTCCCAAGAAATCCACCGATTTTCGATATGCCATTCCATATCGCTGCTCCTTTTGAGTGCAGCGGTATCGAGATCTCGGTGACTGTGGCACCAAGGTCTTCGTACTTGGTGACTGCGGTGCGAAAGATTTGGACCACTCGTGGATCCAAGGCTGGTGTAGAGAGCGACTCAGTAATTATAGCGAATTGCTTGCCTTCCAAGGGTCTGTGCATTGGAGTATTCCTGATGGAACTGTAAATAGGTATCTTGGATGGGTGAGGTGCAGCGAAAGAACGATCGTCAATATTGTCCGTTCCGGCAATAGCTTCGAGAAGTACAGCGTTTTCCAATACTGTCCGTGTCATTGGACCAATGTGATCGTTAGTAGGCTCGTTACTTCCACATCCGGTGTATGGCACAAGGCCAAATGTAGGCTTTAGGCCAACAATACCACAGTTGGCGGCTGGCACACGGATACTACCACCCTGATCTGCGCCAATTGACCCATCGACCTCGCCCAATGCCACAAGAACAGCTGAGCCGCTCGAGCTTCCTCCAGCGCTATAGCCTTTTGCGAATGGATTTTCCACCACTCCAGTACTCGAAGAGTGGCTTGTTGCAGAATGGCACAAGTTCTCACAGACTGCTTTTCCGAGGATTTCACCGCCAGCTGCTAGGATTCGTGTAGTGACAGCTGCATCAACATTCGGAATATAGCCTTTGACGAAGTTCGTACCCAGTAGCATTGGTACGCCCTTGACGGCAATGTTGTCCTTCAAAGCGAACGTTTTGCCGTAAAGTTTACCGTCGCTCTTAGCTTCCTTGTCAACGATTCTGCACTTCCACGCCCATGCACCATGAGAATTCTCAGATGCTTGCGGGAAATGAATATCTTCTCTGGCAAAGCGTTCCTCATCGACTGGGGGAACATAGTCTATACATCAATGTCAGCTTCCGTCATGACTCGCGACGTGAACCACTATGTCCTACCGTCCATAGCCATTAGTAGTTCACTTGCATCGTGAAATGCGGCAAGTAAGCGTCGATAGTCCTGTTTCTCTTTCTCATCGATGCTGACCCCAAGCTGAGAGCATAGCGCCTCGAGAGTTTCTGTAGTGACAGGGTTGTCATGGCTGGTATCTAGCGAAAAAACCGACATCTCTGGTGGAACCGCAACGCTTTCAAGTAATTAGATCGCGATCGTTTGCCGATGCTACATGTTCGTCATACACTGAATTGCCAGGGGCACTCGGTTATTCATACTGGCAGGCCTGGTGCAGACCCACAGCGGCACTTGTTGATCTGCCATGACTTTCACCTTGTGACAAATGTTCATTCGTAGCCTACCAGCCACTGATACGTACTTGCCGATATGTTCAGCCGTCTGAATGCTTGCAAGATTGTGTAGTGGAAGCCTCGAAGGAAAGATAACAGTAAAGCGGGGCAGGCGGAACGCTTATTCCCGAGGTCGATCGTCGGGAGAGTCACTTCCGATCAGCAAACAACGAACAGCGCGCCTTGTACCTGATAACTTTTCTGTGTCGTGATTGGTAAGAAACTGCTGATAAGAAATTGACAGGTGAAAAGGAACGGACTTGACGTGCAGTCAAAAGGTTGATGAGTCGTTCCTGGCTGGCTCAACTGTGGATAGCCTTGCGACTTGTACGTATTGACACCGCTCTAAAATCCTACGCAGGTAGCATGCGTTGAATCTACGTTCACTCTTCCTCTTGTATTTTGTTCGTGACCGTGATATCGAATATCTGTCTGTCATGGTTCACGTCGAAGAGTCTCTTCAACTCCCCAGAGACTTTGAAGGTGCGCTACCACACAATCTGCAGTTCTCCTCATACTGACCACTATTATAGGTTTTGGCGAAGATGGTCATGACGCACAATGGCCAAACGGCGCCCGCATAGCAGTTTCCTTTGTACTCAACTATGAAGAAGGTGGCGAGAGAAACCCCATGGATGGCGATGGCATTAGCGAACCCTACCTGTGGGAGAAAGGCCCTTCGGGCGGTGGCAGGGAACAGCGCCATTTGAACGGCGAGGTAAGTTCTGGCTGTACGAACTGCATTTGAGACATACACTGACTTCGTACGTCACCTCTGCAGCAAGATTACGAATATGGTAGCAGGTGCGGCGCTTGGCGGATACTACGCCTTATGAAGGAGTTCGGCTGGAACATGACCCTGTGGGCCATTGCAGTGGCCATGGAGAGAAATCCTACGTTTGCAAAAGCTTGCGTAAGAGACGGCCATGAAATTGGGGCTCATGGGTATAGATGGCTAGACATATGGGACTATTCACTTGAAGACGATAAGGCGTATATTAAGAAGACATGCAAAGCCTTGGAAGCGGCAACTGGTACGTCCTACCCGATGCCAAACATCTTGTTCAATACTGACGCGCATACAGGCGAATTTCCGGTAGGAGCATACTTCGGCAGAGGCACGCCAAATACAGCCAGCCTGCTCCCAATCATGTGGAAAGAGATGGGTCACAAAATGCTCTACACATCGGAAGTCTATAATGAAGACTCGCCATATTGGATCGATCTTCCCTGGGAGAAGCAACTGCCTGAATCGGAGAAAGAGGGCCTGTTGATGATGCCGTACAACTACGATTGTAAGCCGCATCTCTACATGACAACATGTCCGATTTAATCTAGTAACATGATTTAGGCAACGACGGAAAGTTTCACATGCTCCCTGGTTTCGTAAGCTCAGCAGGTGCAGTGTACGAGCAGTATCTCAAGGATACGTTTGACTGCTTATACAGAGAAGGCGGTAAGATGATGACCATCCCTTTGCATTCTAGAATAGCTGGTAAGCCAGGAAGGTCGGAGAGTCTGAGAAACTTCATGAACTATATTTCAAGGAAGGAACATGTGTGGGTTGCGACACGCAGGGACATTGCGAAACACTATCGCGAGACTTTTCCTTATAAGTCTGGGTCGAAGACTGGTTGTTCATAGATCTCTTCGTACCTATGGATCTGGATCGAAATGATTATTTGGCCACGCGGATCATGGGCTAGAAGGTATAACAGCCCTCCAAACGTACCCAGATCATGCATTTGGGTGCGCCGATTTCTTACTACACGTGCCACCTGGGCAACCTGGCAAATTAGTCGTGGGGACGCCGCATGGTCTTAAAGGACACATGCAGTCGCTAGAATCGAAATCCCAGATGCAGAGAACCTGTCGCATTCGCTGGATATGCCCGTGCCCGTGAAAACCTGTGGAGCCCTGGAGTCTTTACTCAAGTACACTATCACCTTTTTGGACAGGTCAACGCACTAGCCTCATTCTTCATCTTTTTGCCCGTCGGCTTCTTTCCTCCCGACGCGTTATCGTCTTATCATCGAAGATCTGCCGTATTCCCAGCATTGCGAAACCTTGCATAGATAGATGGCTGATAGGAATATTTGTCTGCCACAATGACGAGATGCGCAATTTGTAGAGGCGATCAAGATGTTTATAGCCTGGCAATCACCTCCCGCCGAACAACCGAGGCTCGAATTGGTATTTGCTCAGGCGTGAGTATTCCTGCGCGGTCATGTCTCGCATTTTGCAACAAGGCAAGGATGTTTTGAGTTCTCCAAAAACTCTCAAAGTCATAGCGCAAGATACCAGCGATCAAGGCGAAGTGCGTTATAACAAAGACCTCCTTCCCAGTCCTCCTGGTAAGCCTTGAAATGCATCTTTCAGCATCTCCAAAAGTTAACACAATGCAGAAGATCGGAGATGGCGCTGGCAACATTACTTCGCATACTATCTGACCATGACATTCAGCCCATCCTCGTACAACCTCGGCGCATTTCTTGTCTCAATCGGTTTACTCTGGTGGCACGGCATGATTGCTGCTATCATCGGCTCCGCCATTCTCACCGTTCTGGTTGTGCTCAATAGTCGCGGCGCTGTCAAGTACTTTCTTGGCTTCCCTGTGTATGTGCGCGCAGCTGCTGGCGTCAGGGGAGCGAGTTTGTACATCGTCGTACGAGCTGTGGTTGCAATCATTTATTTTGCGACGCAGACCTACTATGGAGGCCGTATCACGTCGGTGTTCATGCGGGGTATATTTGGAAAGGGTTACAATGATATACCGAACCGCCTCCCAGAGAGTGCGGGGATCACGAGTAGAGATTTGCTGAGCTTCTTCTTGTTTTGGATGGTAGGTACTGTCCACCTTTCTCTCGTTCAAGTCCAAGGCCGACTGAGTATGCTAAAATTAATAGGTTAGTGATATCCATGTACGAACTGTATGTGAGACAAATACTGACTTCGTAAACTCATCTTTAGGCGCAACTACCAGTCATGTTCATTCATCCCACGGTACTTCGACACCTCTTTGTTGTCAAAGCTGTCTATACAACGATTGCACTCTTCGGGGTGCTCGCTTGGGTAGTCAGTGCCAATGGGGGCAAAATTGGAAGTTTTACGTACACGACCAAGCAGACTCAGCTCTCGGGCTCAGCTCTGATCTGGCCCATGATACAAGCCATCAATTCCGTTATGGGCGCTCTGGCGCCAGTGCTTATCAATCAGCCTGATATAGCGCGATACGGACATTCCTACGGCGATGTGACATGGAGCCAGGGCTTCGGTATTCTTACCAGTAAAGTACTGGTCATGTTCCTGAGTACCGCAACGACTGCAGCCGCTACACAAGTCCTCGGCCAAAGCTATTGGAACGTATGGGATCTCTACGACGCCATCTTGGATCAATATTGGACTGCTGGAGCTAGAGCAGGGATAGTATTTGCGTCTTTCGGTATGATGCTCGCTGTACTTGTCACCAATGCAGGAAGCAACTCGCTTCCCGTTGGTGCCGATCTTACAGGAATCTTCCCTCGATGGTTGACCATTGTGCGGGGCCAGGTACTCTGCGCGATTCTGGCACCCTTACTTGTTCCATGGAAGATTATCGCCTCGGCGACTGCGTTCTTGACGTTCCTCGGAAGTTACACTGTATTTCTGATGCCGATCTGCGCGTGCATGATTGTCGACTACTGGCTCGTTCGAAAGGGTAACTTGCATGTTCCCTCATTGTACACGACTGCATCCGAAAGCCCGTACTCGTACTGCAAAGGCTGGAATATGCGCATGCTGGCTGCGTGGACAGCTGGGGTTGCCTTCACGGTCCATGGCGTCGCGGGGTCTTTGGATGCTGATTCTGTCGCCGAGGCTAGCAAGAATATGTACAAGCTTGGCTTTCTACTATCTCTGTTCATGGGCGGCTTGGTTTATTACAGCTTGTGCCTCATCTGGCCGGTGAAAATGGTGCCTCGAGGGGCAGGGGGAGAGCTGGGGTTTGAAGCGTTGGCAGCGAACGAAGGTTTCTTCGACGACGAGAATGTAGGAACTATCACGGGCGTACGGGAAGGCGAAGAAGTGCATGAGACGCAGCACGGCGCTGCGGATAGCAAAGGGTTTGTCTGTTAATTCCATGACATAGCTGTGAGTAAGCAAGTGTAACGTGACGTGGCGGGGCGTCGTGCATGCAGCTGGAGGTGTGGCTGGTCGACAAGCTCGGACCACGCGCAACGTCACTGCCACTGCCGGGAGAGCGTGGGAGCTTCACCATGTCCAAGGCAAACATCTCAACGTCGACGCTTGGTGCTGCCTGACTCTGCTCGTTGTACCAACAGGCGCTACCATTGTTCCGCCCAGTGAGCGCGACGACTACACCACCACCACCACCACCACCACCGACATGTGGGACGACGAGGACAACAATCCGTATGGATCCTTTGCCCGCCATGACTCCAACACGTCCGATATTCCTGGGCTAGCGTCGCCCGCTGCCCGTAAGGCTTCTACCTACTGTCTGAAGCAATCGCCAGCATCACTAGCTGACATGACCAAGTGCCGTACCGCCCCGCGACGCCGCCCTCGGAGGCTTCGTCGCCCGCACAAGAATCGCCCGAGTATGTCTCTCAGCGCGACATGAGCGACGTCGACTACAACGAGCAGGACCAAGACCACGCAGACCCAAAGGCGCCTAAGAAGGGCGGGTACGATGCGCGCGTGGAACAATGGCTGTACGAGCACCCCGAGCAACTCGTCTTGATCACGAGCGCGGGCAAGGACGGTGTGAACTACATCCAGTACACCATCAACTGCGGTGTATGTTAGCCAGGCTGCTGGGGAGCCGCGCAGCTGACACATGGACAGGGCCTCGAAGTCAAGCGCCGATACTCTGAATTTGCATCCCTGCGCGCCGAACTGGTCAGACTTCACCCCACGCTCATCGTACCTCCCATCCCCGAGAAGCATACCATGGCCGACTACGCCGCCAAGCCGACAAAGGCGAAGGAGGATGCCGGCATAATAGAGCTGCGGAAGCGCATGCTGGCTGTCTTCCTTAACAGGTGTAGGAAGATGCAGGATATACTACAAGATGGCGTCTTCTGGCGGTTCCTCGATCCCTACACAAGTTGGGTAGGCTTCGTTCTCTTGTAGATACCAACCCCTTCAACTGACTTGCTCCTGTAGGCAGACGTACTCAACAGCCCGCCTGTTTCCAATATCCCCAAACAGATCCTCAAAGCACCTCCACTCGATGCCGCGAACCCTTCCCAAGCCCACAGCTACCTTCCAGTCCCCTCGTCTTCCGCCAAATTGAAGTCGGGCGGTACCATATCTAGCTCGGGTACTCCTGTCTCACCAGCCAACAACGCAGCCCTACCTTCAGCAGCCGCGCATACGACACCGGGTCCTGCCATTTTCGGTCGTTTCCCTCCTGAGACGCGCAATATGTCGGAAGAGGAGTTGGATCCATACTTTGTTAGCTTCGAGAACTCGTCCAAAGACCTAGAACACCTGCTGCAAGGACCAATGGAGAAGGTCAACAGACGACTGCTCATGCACCTGGGCAATTGGGGAGAGGACATGGCAGATCTTGGCGCTCGATTCAATGCCTTTTCGCTATCTGAACAGACGCAGTCTCTCGCTGCAGCCATTGAAAAGACGGGACAAGCTGTCGACTCTACGTACATTGCGACGACCGAACTCTCTTCGTCTCTCAGCGCAGGCTTCTCGGAGCCTATGCGTGAGAGCGCGCAATTTGCCGGCATCGTACGTTCTACCTTGAGATATCGAGTGCTCAAGCGGATACAGGAGGACATGACAAAGGACGAACTTGAGAAGAAGCGCAATCTACTCGAATCCCTCGAACGCAGTGAAGCAGAGTCGAAACGATTAGAACAACATCTGAGTGGCGTCGGCCATCAACCTGCCCGAAGTCGCGCTGCTTCCAACAGCTCACACCGAAGCATCGGCGAGGCGGAGCAACCACGTAGATCGGACGAGGATAGGGCGTCGATTGATTCCGACTTCCCACCTACACATGGCGACACACCATCCAGCGCACAGGGCGCACCTGATAATCAGTCACCGCCTAGTAGCCCGCACAAGAAGACTGCAAGTGGGAATTTCGTCACCAACAAGCTGTTTGGGTCCATTACACATGCTTTCAGGGGTATGGCAGACGTAGATCCTGAAAAGACTCGAAGAGATCAGATCGGCAAGACACGGGATAGTATGGTACAGGTAGGCTTAATATGTCATTTGTGAAGACACTTGGAGATACTGACCATTACGCAGCTCGAACAAGCGCTGACTGTGGCCGAGAAAGACACCAAAGACGCAAGTGCGGGTGTGATGAAGGACCTGCGACGATTCCAGAGCGAAAAGGAGGACGATTTACGGCGTTACATGGTATGTCTCGGTCTTTACCTAGTGCTCTTGAAAGCCGCTAAGAACAACTGCAGATGGAGTTCGCTCAATGCCATATCGATTGGGCGAAACGAAACAAGGCGGCTTGGGAAGAAGCTAAAGCCGAAGTTGAGAATATTGCGCCACAGCCCTCAGAAGAATACCCCAGGAGATCTGAGGACTTTGAAGCCCGAGAGCAGTGATGGCGCGTGCCATGTCTGTCTGTGTACACCTGGCGATGCATCCTTTGAGCGATTGCGCACCTGTATTGAATATGGCGAGTAGTAATTCAAAGTATAATAACAGTCGTTTGCTTTACCATGTACAACTACTCAGAACTACAACGTAGCTTCGTCGAACTTCAATCACCAGCTTATTGTGGAAATGTTCCCTTAGATGCGCTCGTTGAGCGTGCTGATAGGAGAGCATTCTGAGATCACTCTACACATATGACAAGGACAGTGATGTCTGAGCATGAGAATGCCAGCTGCCAGGGTGGTTTTATACGACAAGATAGCTCCATGGACGATACTGTGAAATAGAGCTCAACGCAATTCTACATAAGAGAGCTCCAGCAGCCTTGATCTCTTCCCCCTTGTTACGCTAACCATTTACACCCTGCTTCTAGTCAATGTGTTCTGTTACTGTTACATCGCAAAAAACCTACTTGTCCACCGATCCCCCAATCAGGCCTTCTTGCTCTTCTACACGGCTTCAACAATTGCGAACTCGGCAACGAGATTCAGGGACACAGGTCGCTTCGAACGTTGGATAGTATGCTGCTCATGGATTTGAGGGTTTGGAAAAGGACAGGGATAAGGACTTGGAAGGAAACGCGACAGCGATCATGAGTACGGAAGGCATTAGGGGTAAGGGGTGGAGGAAGGCCAGGGATAAACATGGTTGCTCTGCGAGGATTGGATCAAACAGGACGGGTGATGCGCAGGCAGCGAGGACGACGGTCTGACTGGTGGCTAGTGACTGTGCAAGATATAGAGTAACGTCATCTCCTCATGGCCGCAAGTCATGACACAGGTTTGATAGTCTCAAAGAGGTCATCTGTATCCGTTCGTAGACACATAGGATTGGCAGTGGCCGGGGTAAACCATGTGGAAATCGGGTGAGTGGCAAAATAGTTGGGGGATCGTAAAGTCCATGATATGCATTGATGGTTAGCAGACAATTGATCTCAAACGCCATCCGTCTTGTCGTTCCCATCCGCAAGAGTTTTACAGGCGCTCGTAGATATACATGCCGATGCCCGCAGAAGCAACTCCGTATCCACCGTGAGGAAGAACCAGGCGAACCAGTAGTTGTAGAGAAACCGCCACTCGACTCCAGCCATGACCTTCGTAGTCATCATCAGTGTGCACCCGCTTATTTCTTGTCCTTCTTCGCACCGCCCTTGGACTTGGCTGTGCCCCGGAACTCCTTCATCCTGTTCTTGCGCTGCTTGCCTGTTGTCCAGTCAGTATGTGTCATATATCGACATGCAGATCCATCGCCATAATTGCGACACCATGCATAGACGCAGGGAAGACGTACGCTGCTGCCTGCTGGCCTTCTCGACCTTGGTGGCCATGCCGTAGCGTACTAGCCTGTAGCGGGGCTCAAACTTCTTCATGGCCTCGGCGCTGTCATAGATAAGAGCGAAGCCGGTGCTCTTGCCGCCACCAAAGTGTGTCTTGAAACCGAATACGGAGACATCGTCCTTCTTGGCCTTGTACAGCTCACCGAGCTTGCCACGGAGTTCGTCCTTGGAAACGTTTGCGCGGTTGGGGTGAAGGACATCGCTGTAGTATTCCCGTCAGACTCAATCCCCCGCAACTGTGTGCTCGGTGTTTCCTGCACTTACACGACCATCTGACGACGTCCGAGGAGAGGGTTGCGGATGAACTTGCGCGTGCGCAGAGTAACTTGAGAGTCGGCCATGTTGGAAGGATTCGACCTGCAACACGACAATTAGCCGTGAGTCACAAGTACAATAGGGCGGGCTTGGGTCTGCAATGGACGTACTGGACAGAGATCGATCTTGCTGTTGTCGATTACCTGTGGTTAGCTGGCGGCAAGATGGAGATGTCGAATTTGCTGCGTCGTGTCGGCGGTCGGCAGTGCGCCTCGCTTAGTCTGCCAAGGCGCCCCGCTACAGAGTTACGTAAGCAGATGCGTGCTTGGATGTTCTTTCCCCTCGTCAAAATCAGAACATACAACTAGGCTGCACGACTAGGGAGGCTGAGACACATTGAAATATTCTAGCTTACGTGCCGAACAAAAACTATTGTCGCTTCCATGGACGCTCCATCCAACCTACCGCAGCTACTTATCTTGCAACGCCAGTATTTCCAGCTGGTCGAACCACACCAATTAAGATGGCCAGATGATGCGATACTAAAAGCGCCAAACGTACAAGTGTGGCTCTTCCACAATCTGTTCGATGCAGCCAATATCACATCACTACCCCCGGGCCGCTATCGGTTGAGGATTCTCAAACAACTTGTCGCAAAACTCGAGAGGTCGATCACCGACCCGGAGGAGGATGTATGGTCTCCTATCTCCTCACCATGGCTTTGCCTTCGCTGTAGCCAGCCATCTATCAAGTCATAATAATCATCTTGCAATCGCAAAGATTCCATGCAGCACTTGCTGACCTTTCTCTTCGTCCCAATTATAGGAAATCTCAGATGACATTATGGAAGCGATGACTATTCTGCTTGTTGCTGATCTGCCCTCCGAAGCCGATGCAGCTCAGCAAAAAGCATTCGTGACGTACTCTTACCCCCATCATTCAATCGATGATAGCGTAACGCACGAACGTACGGTAACGCTACTTGAAGCGCGATCCGTCATCTCCTCGTCTGGAACGACTGGTCTCAGAACTTGGGAAGCCGCCTTGCTACTCGGGTCGCATCTCGCGTCCGAGGCTGGCCGACCGTTTGTATCCGGGAAGAGATTGTTTGAACTTGGCGCAGGAACTGGAATGCTGTCCATTCTTTGCGCGAAGCACTTGGGGGCGACCGGCGTGGTTGCCACAGATGGCGACGAGGCTGTTGTCGATGCCATCAGAACAAATCTTTTTCTCAACGGACTTGATGTCGATGACACGTCCCGGATTCAAGTGCGGACAGCCGCGCTGAGGTGGGGCCATCCCATTGACGCAGCGACCTTTCCCGAAGACTATGGCATGAGCGTACCAGATGTTGTAGTGGGAGCAGACGTCGTAAGTCATCGTCATTGCAGTCTCGTGGAGAAGTGGATCTGACAACGTCGCAGACATACGACAAGTCCGTCATTCCGCGATTGGTCTCGACTCTGGGAGAATTCTTCTACTTGAACCCAGCGCTCGAAGCTCTGATATCTGCGACGATTCGCAACGAAGAAACGTTCGAGACCTTTCTGAACGCGTGTAGTGGGTCTCTCCACGTCTTGTTTTCCTGGCCATGTTACGACATCGGGCGAGTTGTTGCTGACTTTTGTGGGGTAGGGCGGAACCGTTTCAGCTTCGAGCAGGTTGATTGCCCACCGGTGCCTGAACACCAACAGAAAGGGCCGTTTTATCCAACTTCGACCCCGATCCAACTGTGGCGTGTCACTAGAGGGCGATACATGGACGATGCGTTTTCTGTTTGAGACCAAGGTGTCGAGAGAGAAAACTCTTGACCGACATATGAAGGTACATAGACGCTGATGGTGGCGGATTGCAGCATAAAGAAAGGTGTGTATTTTGAAGCCTAAGAGATTTTCTGGTGATTCACCATGTTCGAGACGGTGAAGGCCCTTCTGAAGACCCGGTTGGCTCTTTTGTTGCGCGGCCGCTAGGATAGAGTTACGCGAGTAGACAATGGACCCGCATCTAGTTATGCACAGTCAAAAGTCACTCAACCGGAGTGCTTCAGAGATGCGAATTATCGGCAAGGAACACACTCTATGTATAGCGGCTCGCAAGCCGACTGGTGAGCTGGATGAAGCCGCGAAAAAAGCTGTTCAAAGCCCGACTAAGGCGTGGTGAGTCGATTGCGAAAGAGGAGCCGCGCCCTGTTACCGAACGGAAGGCTGTGATAGATACGCAATATGGCTTCATTGTGTTGAGAGAGCTCGCACCCGAGTGGGCAGTGGTGTGTAGTGATGGTGCCCGCTGCGAGTCGCACCGAGTTGCACAAGAACGTGGACCTTTGGTGGTCTTCCCGTGTGCATGCTCGGCCCGCAATTCGCTGCAACACGACGGCTGCGACGTTTCCATGCACAGCGCTGCAACGGCGAAAGGATGCACTCTGGCCAGGCTTCCCCGCCGTGGCTACACCGGCAAAGATTGAGTTGTAGCAAGGCACCGTGGTGGATGCGAGTGGGGGGTAGTAGGGAGGAGTCAGCGGGCAGCGGGTGCCGCTATGGCGTGCTAGATGATCTCAATGGCTCCATCGTGATGGCTATCACGAATCATCCCCACACGCGCAACCATATCCCGACCGCATATCTAGGCCGTCGTCGTCAACCATGTTCTAGAACTGCCCTCAGGTACTCGCAGGCGCCGGTCTCGTAATTACTTATTGACCGCAATCCCGCACTCCTCTTGCTATCGATCTCGGATACATAGCTTGTTATCCTGCCGCTGAAAGCCGCCTGCCCCGTGGAAATACTCGGCTTTGCTGTCTCTCACGAACTGCTGCTTATCGCCGCGCACCCCAGCCCAGCCCAACCCGCGCATCGTTCCCGGAACTATACTGCACTCTATCCTTCCTTCCTTCCGACGTCGCACGTCCCGTGTCTGTTGAAGTAAGCTCGTTCTCCTGGCTTCTTGGTGTCGCCTCTCAACCTCGTCGATCGATCAAGGCCCCTTCTTGTACATCGTCACGATCTAGACACGCACTATCGTGTTCCTGGCTAAGACGTTGGCGCAGAACCCAGGCGATAAGGATCCTAAACAAAGCCACGCACGAACCTTCCGTCATATCAGCAGCTGGTACTCGGCGGCCTGTGTCACCGCTTCTTTGCTGCCCTACTTCCAGCCCTGTAACGACATCGTGCACCGTGCACCGTGCGCGATTACCACAGTGAGGCTTTTAAAGTTCTTCTGCATCCATCATGGCCACACATCACGTTCGTCACCCGTCTCATCAATCCAAGAAGTCGCAACCAGCGCACGCACGGCCCTCTAGGCCTCTGTCAAAGCGGACCCAGTCCCACGGCACCAAAGCCGCCTCCAAAGCCGTTCATTACAAAGAGACTGCATCCGACGAGGACGAGGACTCAATGGCCGTGAGTTTTTTGAACTACTGGTATGTTGTCGTCATCCGAGTCCTCGCGACTGCGCACTAATCTTGTGTTGCAGCACCGTCTGCGAGAAGCAAATTATTGTTCCCAGTAACTCTGTGCTCTATTGCTCGGAAAGGTATGGCCCACACCCACTCTATGATGCACAGGCCACCTACTGACATGCACACGTAGCTGCAAGAAAAAGGACACCGAGAAGAGCCTTACCTATTCATACGATCATTACTCACCGCCAACTACGCCATTTGCCAACTTCACGTTCGACGAGTTTGCCTTTCGCGACATTGTACCCCAGCGCTCCCCCACTCAGCCTGAGTCAAAACGCTCGTCATGTGCCTTCTCCGACATCTCGTCAGACGATAACAGCGTGGACCGGTGTCAGCGTTTCGACTCGGAGGCATCAAAATATCTCCGCAAATTCCAATCGCCTGCCTACTTCCCCGATACCGTTCGACCGCGCTACAGCCGTAGCTCTACTTCACAAATCAGCTTTAGCGCCGCCCCCTCGCTGTCACACACCCCAGCCTCGTCAGTGAGCTACTCGCTGCCATACACGCCCGCCACTACGCGACCTCTTCCACCCAGGACTAAGCCGTCGCATAGTGGGTCTTACGGAGCCAAATCAATTGATCTCGTTACCCCAGTGACGGCTCCATCGAGTCCAAAGTCCTATTCGCACAAATCGGCGGCTTCCATATCAAGGACGTCTGCTAGTACAATTGAAGGCGAGATCTTCTACGCCAAGTCACCAGTTCCTGAGCCATCATTCGCTAGTGGCAGTCTTGGTCGATTACTTGCTTCAACACCTCGTTAAACAAGTGCTGTCTCGAGGACGCTTGATCACAAATCGCCCCTCGGGTTTTTTAACACAACCTTTTCTAATAGCAGGCCACGAGCGCTTGGCTATGCGGGCGTAGCCTCGATACTCTTGGGACATGTACATTTCGTTTCCACAACAAAAGTCTTTTGGTCATCGCGTAGATGGCCCTCCTTTGCGAATAGCGATATACCAACAAGCCTTTAGATCTCATGGAGAAATTAGGATGCATGTAAGTAGATAGAAACAATGAATAGATGTCAGTGCCAATGTCACGCACATTCAATCTATGCAACCGTCTCCGCAATGTAGGCTAGCATTGCACGCCACCATCACTGCAGCCTTTCATTAAGAAGGCTATAGATCCGAGAAGAAGAAATTGGGATAACAAAGCCGGCGAATCTGATAACTCCCCTCTACCAGTGTCCACCGAAAGCGTAATAACGACCAGCCTTCCATAGCCTTCTCAACAACCTCAAACATTTGTTGCATCTCCTTATCCGAACTTTCCACACCCCTGCAATCTCCTCGTCATCTCATACTTTCCATATACGCAACGGTCTTGTAATTTGTCGATCACGACTAGGTATACACGCAACATAGAAGAGGAGAGCGTATAGAAAGGTTAGTCATCAGCGAAGGTGTAGAATCTACTGAACACTGACTATTCACAAGAGCTATGCCGAAAAGAGTAAACTTGGGCTTATCCTACCCCGCAGCTGCATGGCTGCGACTCGCACAGTGAAGGGGAGGGGGGAGGATGATCAAGAAGCTCACAAAAAGTGTGAAGACTTTGTAGACTCTGGCGTCATTAAGGCCGGCAATGGTAGACATTTACATCAACAGATAAATAACGCCTCTCTTTATGGCAAGCAGACCTGCATCCTATATGGACTATGAATTAAGTAAGGAATGTATGTACAAACGCCACCGCATGCAAATAAGGAACGCTATGCTATGCAATACCTCATCCGGAATCCTGTAAATACACATTATCGGATGTTTCTCGTGATCCTCCCTCTCCAATCATCATCGTTTGTAGCAGAGCGCAGTGCTTATAACCCGCAGTTACTAGTAGCGACCTGAGCGTACTGGGCATCGATACGTCCCAGAGCCGCAGCCTGGCCGTTTGTAAGCTCGTCCATGGCTGCCTTGGCGAGGTTGAAGCCTTGAGCAGCATGGTCGACGGCGAGAACGTAGATGGTCTTTCCGTTGTAGGTAACGCCGTAGCATGTACCACACTAGTATGTATTGTTAGACAATGAAGATGAGGAAATGTAGTAAGTGTACGTACCTGTGGGCTGTTCCATCCAGCAACACCCATATATCCACCGATTTTAGGGAAACCAGCAACGTTGGCTTGAGTTTGCCAGTTGTACTTTGTGATGAGGCCGTTGGAGCCGTCCGAGCAGGCGAGCGAGGTCAAGGCGCGGCTGCCGTCATCGTAGCCAGTATCGTAGCTGACAGTGATGGCCGAAGCCAGACTGGCAAAACCAAGGATTGCCGCTGAGGTGATGCTGGAGAACTGCATGATTTGTTGGTAGATGGGTAGAGGCTTAGAGAATGGAGGTTTGGAAGTCGGAGGGCTGGTTACTGATGATACGTGTCTTGCAGTTGCGAGTACATTGCCATTTATACCATCCGCCATCTCGAAGCCTCCACTCTACGATCCGAGGCTTCCACCTCGTCTTTCGTCACAATGGCAATCTATACAGGGTGCCCAAGCGCGAACGCGAGCGACATCCCGGAATGACTTACCATTTCGACAGCACTAGCTTCAGCGGTCAAAGCAGATGACCATGAAATAGCGGCGTTTGGTGTAGGTTAGCACAGATAAGCTTATAGCGCCAAAAGACACGAGAATTAATGCGGAGAGTTGCGATATTTTTGGCACGCTAGCAGCGGGAGAGGCTTTCACTAGCTATAAACGGTCCAGTAGACGAGGAAAAGGCCCGGAGATACGGATGGTTGCATTCAATGTGCCATAATAAGTAGCCACGGACAGCGATCAATAAAACGATGCTGCACCCCACCGGCACGCGTGCACGATAAATCTCACGAGATTTAGGTATGATGTCGTGACCGGACGGGGTCTGAAGGCGACGCACGTATAGTCTCGGAAGTGGCGGCAGCCAAAGCCACGTCGACGAACACGGAATCTGACTACCACCGTCAGAGCGTCACACACGATGCAGTAATTGTTGTTGCTCAGGGGAGGACGTCGTCGAGTTAGCTGTCCGTTAGGGTAGCGCTCACACCAGCAACGATTACCTTGGTCAGCAGATGAACCTTGGAAGCGTCGATTCACCGCCCATGCAGACCCCCATTTCGGCATTCACGACACGAGATACAACCGTAGCGTTTTCCGATTGAAGTTCGACCAGAATGTTCTCCCTGGGAGCTGCGATCTCGTGAGAGCGGAGCCTTGACCTTGGAACACAGCCGCGGAACAAAGCGTCGGTTCATTCGGTATACCAGGCCCGTGGACGCTTTGACTTCCGAAGGCACGAAGCAACCACGTGCAGATAGAGCCTTGGAACGGTCG